TCGTAAAATAATAATTTTCCTCATTTTCTACGTAATTCGTAACCTTCCATTTAAAAATTTTCTCATCTAAATTGCATTTTCCCAATGTAACATCGTGAAATAATATTTTTCTTCATTTCCGGGGTAATATTTATTAAAAGCTTCCATTTAAAACTTTTTAAATTAGAATTGAATTTTCCTAATGCAACGTCGTAAAATAATAATTTTCCTCATTTTCTACGTAATTCGTAACCTTCCATTTAAAAATTTTCTCATCTAAATTGCATTTTCCCAATGTAACATCGTGAAATAATATTTTTCTTCATTTCCGGGGTAATATTTATTAAAAGCTTCCATTTAAAACTTTTTAAATTAGAATTGAATTTTCCTAATGCAACATCGTAAAATAATAATTTTCCTCATTTTCTACGTAATTCGTAACCTTCCATTTAAAAATTTTTTAATTCGAATCGCATTTTCCCAATGTAACATCCTGAGATAATATTTGCCTTCACTTTCTACGTAATATCTATTTAAAGCTACTATTTAAAAATTTCTTAACTAGAATTGAATTTTCCTAATGTCACCAATTATCAATCCGATACAAAGAACAAAGGAGCACCACTCGAAATAGCAACCCACGTGGCAAAGATGAGGTTAAAACTCGGCAAGATCTTGGTACAGAGGAGAAACGAGGTCAGGAAATTCTTCGAGACTCGCGTCTCCAAGTGACGGCGCCTTTTACTATCCTTCTTCCTTGATTAAGACCGACTCGTATATTCCGGTCCTGTATTTCGTAGTTACATAAATTACACGCAAGTATTTATGGTAACTGTCTGTTTGCACGCTACCTTTTGAACTCTCGAGGGAGCTTCACCGATGCTATTAAAGCCGTGAAATTAAGTCCGTCCTACTATATACATCATATCCCTTTTCATATTTCTACATTTAACTAACTACGTTTCTAAATGCGTTTACCACGCGTGACGTTGTATCTCTCCCGATGAATCATTACCTCTCTGATACCGATTCGTACCTGCGTGAAAATTCGCCGTGGTAATATATAATCTGTAACCGAGAGTTAGACACAATGGACGCACAAATCTCTCTCTTCAATTACGCGTGCCAAAAAAAAAAAAAAATTACCGTTTGCACTTATAGTATATCAAACGAGGCTCCTCGCTGTGTCATCAATTTCGAGCTGCGAAACTTCACAACAGCCATTCTTCATTTCACACTTCGCTTTGTCTACTACTCACCTCTCTTCACAATTTCTGTCGTAATCAAGGTTTCTGCATACGAACGTGGAGCGAATCTAAATAGGTTGCTACGAAATTATTCAAAATTATTAAGTTAGATTATCGTTATAAAAGAAAAGAGACAGGGTGTATCACTTGTGGTGAAGATTGTGACCTTAGAGTGGTTTTAAAAAATAAAAGAAAATATGGATGACCGTGGAATAATTTTGAGAATTTTCAGGGTACGGGTATTAGAATTTATACTGTTTGAGGCTTTCGAGTGCAAACCTCGCTTGCAACGAGGATTACGATCTTAATGTGGCTCGAAGAATTAAAAAAAAATATCGATGACCGTGGAATAATTTTGAGAATTTTCAGATTTTCAGGGTACAGGTATTACAATTTATTCTGTTCGAGGCTTTCGAGTGCAAACCGTGTTCAGTAGGACACCTAAGTTTCCCAAATTTTGCGAGCATTGCAGCTTCATCAGGGAGCTCCTGATGAACGATTTACGATTTACCACTTTATTCACCGGATAAACGAATTATCAGTGCGTTCTCAGACCCTCGACGAAGTTGCAATGCATCGTTGACCGTGGAATAATTTTGAGAATTTTGTGGCTTTCAGGATATTTATATTATTTGAGACTTTCGAGTGTAAGTCGTGTCCAGTGGGATAAGTTTCCTAAATCTTGCAAGTCAATTCCTGCACACCCAATTCTGTTTATACACGGTAGATACGTTCCAGAAAAAAAACCGTGTAAAAGAAGCGTTATACGAAAACAGTAGTCGCGATATCTTCGCCTCGTTATACAAAAGTCATTGATCCAATTCCCAGAAGCCAATCAGGCAGCAACACCTGAAACAATTCTGCGCGAGCTACCGTCCATCTCCCAACAACGAAATATCCTTCTCGAACACGATGCGAATAAGAAACGCGTCCTTGCCCTGCCGTCATCTCCCCCCCTGCCGAATGATTGACACACGGCCCGTCAGCCAGATTGGGTTCGCTTATAATCCGCACTTTAACGCCTTTTTGCCCACAGCCTCGATCCTGTTCGCGTTCCCGGACCAGGCCACGGTGAAAAAGGTGATCAAGGCGCTGCCGCGGGTCGGCGTTGGCATCAAGTACGGGATTCCGCAGACTAGGTAAGGAACCATCATCGAACCCCTTTTCGCCCGACATCTGGATCCGAGAACCGAGCCAACAGAGGAGAGCCCTCTCTCGAGAACACGCTCCCTCGCATTCCTCTCCATCTTTCTTTGTCCCCTTCCGTGGGATTCCGCCTCGCGATCGGCCCTGGATCTTCATTCCTTTCTTGTGCTCTCCTCTCTCTTCGGCCGAAGTTTTAGATCGATCGAACGAGATAGGAGGAGGACAGGGTGGACGGATATTGAGAAACGCTCGGTGACTGCGTGGATACCGATCGCGAGAATAGTTCGTGCCGCTGGAGGTTTTTGTCTTATTGAAATTCACCACTTTTCTGTCGGATAGCGTTTAGGTTTGTGTTTCGAGGGTGTTATTTGGCGAATAAGCGATTTTTTTGGAAATACAGTAATGTCTCCACAAGTGTCAGTCCGCAAGGAAGCTAAACCTGACACTTGTAGAGTCAGGGACTACGTTTTCGAGCCTCGCGCCCGCCTTTGTAGTTTGCCGAGCGTAGACAAGGACAGCGAATAAAAGAGGCAACCAAGCGATTTAAATACCAACTTTTTTAATTTTACGTTTTTCTATCCCGAAATTTTTCTTAACATATTGACACGTTTACTGTCTGGCGTGACAGTGAATAAGTAAATGTTGTTCAAATTATGTCGTGTTTGATCTCATTTTCATCAGAAAAATCTCACCAACATGTTAAAAAACATTTCAGATGAAAGAAAGTAAAATTAAAGAAATTATATTTTTCTACCATGAATTGTCGAGCCGTGAAATCTCGTAAAAGAAACCGAGTGGTGACTGACAGCGAGCGAGATAACATAGGCGCAGCAATGACGCAGACCTAGGCGTAGGACCATCTATACTGACACTTGTAGAATCCAAACTGACTGACACTTGTAGAGAATTTACTGTATTTTGATACTTGGGGAAGGTTTCAGAATTATTTCGAATTTTTTCAAATTATTTTGCCTCTCTTTCTATACCGCGTTATTCTTTCTATTAGTAAGAATATAAGTAAGTTGCAGGGTTATAAATTGTGGGAGGTTGATTTTTGTATGCCTAGGAAATAATTAGAAAAATAATTAAATTAGGCTTACTTGGCAGATCAAGTTGAGAAAAATGTGAGTGTTAAAGGGTTAATGCAGTCGTATGGGATTTCAGAGGTAATTATACTTTTGGTACAAACTGTAGAATATAGAGAAAATATTTCTTTCCGAATGAGATGCATTTGGTTAACATTTATTTCGAACATTTTGTGAAAAGACTATACAGAAGATATTGTTACTATAAAAATGAAAAGGCTGCTATTTATTGGGTCAGTATTCAAAATGAAACATCGGTGAGTAATACAAGTGGTCAGTATTATATCGATTAATACAAAAATTATCAGCATTTTCGTTAAAACATCAGTAAACACAATAATTTGTCGGTATTTTAAGTTAAAAAACAAAAAACAAATTAATACCGACCAAATAAACAAAATTAGACTGACAAAATGTGATTTAACACTGGCTGTGTATTTAAAAAAAATACTTATCATGAATAAAAAAACAATACTGACCAAAAAAATGGAAACGAAACAAAACTGTGATCGTAAGAATACAGCGAGAGCGAATTGAGTCTTACAATTCTCAGATAATCAAAATACTCGTCTATTTCAAAAAATGCTTACCACAGTTTAAAAAAAAAAATACTGGCCAAAAGACTAGAAGCAAAAGGAAACTATAGTCACACGAATACAGCGAGATCGAATTAAGTCTTCTTAACAACCTCACCCGTATCTTCGATCGAGAATAATTCTCAAATAACTAGTCAACCCGTCTTCTCGATTCAATTAACACGTTAAAAATCGCCGAACGATGGTTCTTGTACACTCTGAAACCGGATTAAAACGGAGAAACGAGCAAAGGCAGCGGGTCGATTCGTCGAAGCATCGCATTCGAAGGAGATCCTCGCGTCCTCATCGCGAGCGTGTCTCTCTCGAGGAGGAAGAAGAGGTGGGATCCTCTTCTCGATACCGATACTCGAGGCAACATCGACGAGGACAGGCGGCGAGAACAGAGGTTTCGCGTATCCGCGCTTCGATCCGTCCATTAAAGCAACGTAGAGAAAGAGAATGAACGGAACCGAGAAGGATACGAGCAGCCATAAATATACAGAGGCCGGAGTTGGACGTCTGATCCAACGGAGATTCCTGGCCAACAAAAATAATCCGCCGGTATATAAAACGTGCATCCGCGTCGTGACGCTCCGTACCACGCTCGCGTCGCGAGAAAAATAAATGCGCCTTTAGATAGCCGAGAGGCGGAAAACCAACGTTGGACGAACAATGCATCGTCCTCGAGAACCGCGAAAGAGATCTGTCTTCTTAGGGAAAAAGAATCTGACGGTTGTTCTTGGAATTTTTAGATATTCTTGTCACAGGCTTAGGTTCGTTGCGTACGTCTTTGATGTGCATGTAGGAATTTACAGAGTCGTCGCGATTGTGACGAAGATTGGAGCATATGTGAAGTTCTGTGCCGAAGGAATAGGCTTGAGATTTTATTTGTAAAATGGTCGAGGATGAGATGAAGCGATTCTTTGAGGAATCCTTGGATCCTTTGATGCTTTGCTTTGCAGGCATAGATTATGGTCGAGGCACGACAAAAACAGTGAGATCAGTAGCGAAGATTTATTCTAATAATTTACGATATTCTGGATTTTATTACCTGACGCACGGTATTAGCTAAAAGGATAATAAAAAGGATTAGTAGAGTTAAAATGACGCATTATAAACTTTCCGAAAGTGAATTTTTATTTATTAAAATTGAATGTTAATGTTTGTTGACTTAAATGGTGATTAAAAAATTTGTTTCAAGAAATCGTAAGGCAAAGGGTCAGACTATAACTTCAGAAGAATCGTCACATAGCTATTGACGCGTCTTCACTTGTCCATTTTTATTTATCAAAAATAAATATTAATATTTATTGCCTTAAAGTGTGTCCAAAAAAATTATCTCGTGTCACTTAAAAAAAAAAACAGAATCGAACGGCAGAGTTAGACTATAGCTCCAAAAGAATCGTCACATAGCTATATACACGTCTTTCCTTGTTTATTTTTACTTATTAAAAATGAATATTAATATTCATTGACTCAAAGTGTATTTCAAAACTTTGTCTCGTGTTACAAAAAAAAAACAGAATCGAACGGCAGAGTTAGACTATAGCTCCAAAAGAATCGTCACATAGCTATATACACGTCTTTCCTTGTTTATTTTTACTTATTAAAAATGAATATTAATATTCATTGACTCAAAGTGTATTTCAAAACTTTGTCTCGTGTTACAAAAAAAAAACAGAATCGAACGGCAGAGTTAGACTATAGCTCCAAAAGAATCGTCACATAGCTATATACACGTCTTTCCTTGTTCATTTGTACTTATTAAAAATGAATATTAATATTCATTGACTCAAAGAGTATTTCAAAACTTGGTCTCGTCTTACAAAAAAAAAAAAACAGAATCGAACGGCAGAGTTAGACTATAGCTTCATAAGACTCGTCAACGTCTCCACTTGTACGCGTCGCGTGAAAGATTTTCATAGTTCCGCGAGATTAGTTGATGGCACACGCAACGTCAGAATTTATACATCCGGTCTCGTTGCCTTCTCCTCCTTTAACGTCGTTCACCGTCCGCCGTCCATTAAAGTCTCTCCTATAAAATCTAAATCAACGATCCCCGGCGTTCGTAAAACGCGCCAGTTGAATTTTACGGCGCGAATCACCGGCTCGTGCCTCTCCCTGTGTAATAGCTTTCTCGAATTCAGACCAACTGTCCACGTAATCATACGTGAGAGTGATTCTGACGCTCGTTTCGCCACGCAAAATTATCTTTGCCAATTTCCAACTTACATACGTACGCGGCAACACTTAACCTCACCGTCTTCGCGCGTTTGATGTTGCATCTTCTGAGAAATTAGATCTTTCAAAGCGCTAAACGACGAAAATTTCCCCACCACGGTTGACGTATATAATAGGTGGATATTCTAATTGAAAATAAGGAAGTAGTTCGATAATTGATGGTAGATTGCAGGGTATAGGGTTTCGTTCGCGCGAGAAAATCGATTCAAGCGCCTGGCTATAGCCTGTTCCGATATAATTGACAGTTCAAGGTCGCACGGTAGCAAATCATATTCTGTTACCTTATTTCATTTCCTTCTGTTTTTAATCGATAGAGATCGAAGTAACGAGGTTTCTTGCGATACATAGGTCCACACATTCGACAAGAAAAATGTGATAGTTAACATACAAAGTCTATCGAAGCGATTAGTATTAACGAGTCCAAAACTGGGCTAGAAATGTCGCTTTTAATTAAACGCGCCTACGTTCGACAGTTTGCTAAATCGTTCCACTGAAATTCTTTCAGAATTTGATGAAAAATTGATCTCTTTCAATATCGTATCGCGATTTCAACGTGGCAGTAAAGGTCTCGAGTAGAATTAACTATACGGTTAATCTTGCGTGACAAGGTAAAACTCGATGACTTTCCGTAGAACTCGGTGGCAATCGTGTATCGATGAGTCGGCGATAGTATAAACTAGTTGGACAGCTATTAATCCGTCTGTCATTTTATTCCCGGCTCGTATTAGCTGTCGAGTTATAAATGTTATTATACCGGTCTCATTTGTATGATGATTGGGATAATCAACTTCAGGTTGTATAATTGTGTCAATGATAGTGCTCTATCGTAACGTGAAGCTGTGTTATTACCGATATCAATCTTGAGAACTGTCGTTCTCGCGTATCGGACACGTCGTTTAGCGAGCTTTTTTTTTGTTTTTTTTTTTCTTTTTCTTTTAATGTGGAGTAAAAAGTTGCGTTATCATTTCACAGGAGAGCCTCGATGATGTCTCCGCGGCAGCTGATGAGGAGCTCGAATATGACGCAGAAATGGCAGCGGAGGGAAATATCGAATTTTGAGTATCTGATGTTCTTGAACACCATCGCTGGTAAGTAGAATTTTTGTTGCTTTATTTTTGCGTTGATCTTCTCTGTTCGCTCAGATATAGTAGCGATTGGAATTAATTTCGTTAAATCTGGAATGCTATGTTAACTAACAATTTAAAATTAAACGTTAACGTAAGATGTATACGAATAGCATTCCAGGGTTAATTTTAGAAAGTGTAATGTCTGTTCTTCGAAATTACTTTTCTTTTTGTTATCAGTACCAAACTTTAACCCTTCGACTGGTGGCAGCCTGAAAGTGTAGCATAATAGCGTTAATAGTCGTACTGTATGTTACGCTAGGTAAATCACTTTTTTGCTGAATATTTTGTATTGTGTATTTGTAAAATAAATTACATACGAATATAAGATTATAGAATCTGAACATCAAAGGCGCTGATAGTATCCAGCGTTCGATTATCACCGAGGCGCCGATAGCAGCCAAAGGGTTAACAGTAATTCTGTAACAGAAATTTTCTATAAATCGTTGATTTTCAACCGGTGTGCAACGGAGAGGTCCACAGATGCGCCCAAAATTTTGTAACCTAAGTTAAAAAAGCACCGAAAAATAATATTATTCTTTTTTGCAAATCAGACAGAAATGCACACTTTTTAATCGGAGAAAAAGTACAACAACTTTTTAGTAATTAATTTAAGTTGGCCAGAAGATAAAACAGATTTAAAAATCGCGGCTCCAAAAAAATTTCCACCCAAATCCCGCGTAAATAGACCGCGTTAAATCCATCTTCACAGAGCCTAACCTATCGACGCGAAACCTTTTACCTCTCTATACGAATTCGCCGTAGGAACCGTAATAAAAGGGGGCTGTTCGACGAGGCTAAAGAATCATATCGGCTTACGGGTTGCGGAAAGAAAATGCGACGTCTGCGGATGGCCGATCGTCGCCGAAGCTCGATTCCCTCCGCTCCACGATGGTTCGAATGTAAGGAAGAAGGAAAGAACGAGATAGTACGGTGTGACAGAGAAAGATAGAAGAAGATCCTATGGTCTATGGCTGCACACGGCCGGATGGAATCTGTCGCGGCGTATTAGGGATGTTCTCAATCAGCTCGGTGTTCCGTTAGCCACCCCATACGAGTAATCCCCGGCTCGTGGGCCCTGGTAATCCTCTCCGTAGGGAACGCCGTTCGCCGCACCACCCCAACGCGGAATAGAAGCCGCGCCTTTGTTTCTCCGTCGGTTTAATATCCGCCCTTCTTTTGTGAGGCCGCGCGTCGCGAGGCTAAATCACGAAACTCGAGACACCGCCGGAGACCCTTACCTTTTTTACCGGGATCACCCGGGCTCTGATCAGCCGTTTCGACGAACGGTGAATATATTGGGAGTTTGCTTGTTTTGCTGTGTGCAGTTGCGGGTTTTTAAGGGGGTTCGTTTCAGTGGTACTAGGAGTTTGACACTTGGCTGCGGAGTTGTTTGAGGGTAAAATGGTAGATTGGAGTGGGAATGGTTTTGTAATTAGGGGTGGGGTTTTTCTTTTTTTAATTAGAACATGGGGGACGGAGTTTGTGTTTGGAGAATGGTTGAGCGGGTGTGTAGTGGTTGGGTTTTGGAAATTTTTGTACGTTCAAGTCATTTGGGGAGTGGTGATTCTGTTTGAGAATGGGAATTTTTGAGCTGTTTTTGATTTTGATATATTGCGATAACACGGGGAACTGACTATGTTTGGTGTTGTTTGAACCTCGAAGGTGCTTAAAGAAAATGGCGTTCTATGTGAAGGCCTGTGATTGGTGATGCGCGTTTGAGGCTAAATTTCGAAGCGACTCGAAGGTTTTCTTCGAACTTAATTCGATACTTGCAATGCTTGAAAATCTTGAGTCTTGATAGGTCCTGAAAATCTTGGAAATCTGAATCTTGAGTCTTGATAGTTCTCGAAACCCTTGGAAATCTGAATCTTGAGTCTTGATAAGTCTCGAAACTTAGAAATCTTGAATCTTGAGTCTTAATAGATCTTGAAACTCTTAGAAATCTTGAATCTTGAGTCTAAATAGGTCTTAAAACTCTTGGAAATCTGAATCTTGAGTCTTGATAAGTCTCGAAACTTAAAAATCTTGAATCTTGAGTCTTAATAGATCTTGAAACTTTTGAAAATCTGAATCTTGAGTCTTAATAGATCTTGAAACTCTTAGAAATCTTGAATCTTGAGTCTGAATAGGTCTTAAAACTCTTGGAAATCTGAATCTTGAGTCTTGATAAGTCTCGAAACTTAGGAATCTTGAATCTTGAGTCTTAATAGATCTTGAAACTCTTAGAAATCTTGAATCTTGAGTCTAAATAGGTCTTAAAACTCTTGGAAATCTGAATCTTGAGTCTTGATAAGTCTCGAAACTTAGGAATCTTGAATCTTGAGTCTTAACAGGTCTTGAAACTCTTGGAAATTTTAAATCTTGAGTCTTAACAGATCTCGAAACTTAGAAATCTTGAATCCTGAACTTTAACAGGCCTTAAAACTCTAAGAAATCTTGAATCTTGAGTCTTAATAGGCACTGAAACCCTTGGATACCTAAAAAATTTCTTCAACACTCCATAAGTATGAAAACTTCAAAAACTAAAGACCTACCAAATCTCAAAAGATTGAAAACTCATCAAAACTCAACACTTCCAAGAATTTGCAACCATCCAACCATCCAAAATTCCTCAAATCTTTTCGCCACACGTACATACCTGTTCGAATCGATAACAAACTGTTTCAGGGTCCATCGCTACTCCCCATAAAGAATCCTCCTAGTAAGTAAGTACCCGAGTCCCAATCGCGAATTATGTAAGCGTGGAATTTACTGCTACACACGCCTAATGACGGGGATCATCGCGGTCGCGTAATTATTCGTATATCGACGAGAGAAACGCCGGAGGGTGGGCCTGCAGTATTTACGAGCGTTATATATTAATTGCGCGAATAAATAGTCTGTAGATCGTAGAGAGGATGAGGAGAGTGGGAGAGAGAGGCAAAGGTAGAGGGGGATTGGGTGGATCGCGTATAACGCAATTGGGCAAGGCCCGGCGGGAGAACACGTTGCGAAAACGAACCGGTCCTGCGACCAGGCTCCCGCATGCGGTCCCGTCCTGTTGTTTATTTGCTCGGTCGCATCGGTTTATTAAAAATTAATGACAGTAGGGCCGATGTAAATATGATAGGCTGCGTGTCCCGATGCCGAGCCGGTTCGCGTGGGTGTACACCGCCGGCTACGCCGCCACTGGTGCGTTCGGCGCTCTTTTCTGCGGCTGATATTCGCCCAGGAGAGTTTCTTTAATTAATTGTTCGCTGCAGAATTTTTTCCGTCCTGTTTTAACGTCCACATGTTATTTGTGTGTGTGTGTGTGTGTGTGTATGTAGATTTGTTTTTTTTCTTTCTCTTTTTTTGAGGTTATGTTGGATAATACGAGTGGGAGGTTGATGGAGAGAGTTGTGGGAATTCTAATTACACCATTTCACATAAATGCTTATCTTCGAACTTAAGAAAAAAGCGGAAATGTTCGTATCACTTTGAAAACTATGTGTATGTATGTAGGTTATGTTGGATAATATGGGTGTGAGGTTGGTGAAGAGTATCGTGGGGATTCTAATTACACCATTTCACATAAATGCTTATTTTTGAACTTAAAAAAAAAGAAGGAAGAATTTCGAATTACTTTGAAGGCTATGTGTGTGTATGTAGAGCTGTTTTTAAGGTTATGTGGGTGAAGTATCGTGGGAATTCTATAATAATTACACCATTTCACATAAATGCTTATTTTTAAACTTGAAAAAAAAAGCAGAAAAGTTCGAATCACTTTGCAGACTATATGCGTGTACGTAGAGTTCTTCTTTTCGAGATTATGTTGGATAATATGGGTGTGAGGTTGGGTGAAGTGTATCATGGGGATTCTAATTACACCATTTCACATAAATGCTTATCTTCGATCTTAAGAAAAAAGCGGAAATGTTTGTATCACTTTGAAAACTATGTGTATGTATGTAAGTTATGTTGGATAATTTGGGTGTGAGGTTGGTGAAGAGTATCGTGGGGATTCTAATTACACCATTTCACATAAATGCTTATTTTTAAACTTGAAAAAAAAAAAGCGGAAAAGTTCGAATCACTTTGCAGACTATATGCGTGTACGTAGAGTTCTTCTTTTCGAGATTATGTTGGGTAATATGGGTGTGAGATTGGGTGAAGTGTATCATGGGGATTCTAATTACACCATTTCACATAAATGCTTATTTTTAAACTTGAAAAAAAAAAAGCGGAAAAGTTCGAATCACTTTGCAGACTATATGCGTGTACGTAGAGTTCTTCTTTTCGAGATTATGTTGGATAATATGGGTGTGAGATTGGGTGAAGTGTATCATAGGGATTCTAATTACACCATTTCACATAAATGCTCATTTTCAAACTTAAAAAAAGATTTCACCCAGAAAGTGCGATGTCCGCAAAGTGTTAATGCTTCCAATTTACAACCTCGCTATATTTCTTCCACCGACTATACCTCGGAAGTCGGAGATCGACGAAACGTGACTGTGATCGATAACTGCTCATCGAAACCTTTGAATTTCCTCTAAGCCAGTAATGTCATTTGATCTGACGAAACAAATCCATCGAATTACTTCCAATTCACATAACCCCTGCACATACTATACCTAAAAATCCACCCCTCACGATCCACGCCCGTTTACAACAAATCTGTTAAAAAGCAACGTTTAAAAAATGGCGGAATACAAGATTTCGTGGTAATTTCTAGAAACGTTCCTGCGTGCACATACATTACGATGTTTCCTCGAGTTGTGCTCGTCGCCACATTCGTTAGTTTCGCGATCGAACAATGGGTACTTACGATCGTATCGTTTAAATTTTCCATTGGAAGCCACGGACGTTCACAGCGGAACGCATACGCGGGGTTTCAGGTTTCCTGTGGATTGTACTTTCCGTTTATGTCACAGACGGTGCCTACTCTGTTTTAATCGCTGCAACTGTTAGCGAGCGTAGAAACTTTTCTTCGGTCAGCC